TATTACCACCTTTACGGACTCAAAGATTTCCTGCTCAGTTTTTCTGCTCAGTATTCCTGTTAGCTTTGTGGTTTCAACTTTTGAAGGCTTAGTCGATTTTTGGAGGTTTTTCTCCCGTTTGTCGGCCGTGTTTTTGAGTGGGTGCAGGAACGTGCATTACAAGTACGTCACATCTTTTGCAAAGTTTGAATGGTCAGTTATCTTTTCTTCTTATTCCAAAAATGGTACTTCTGAAAACAAAAAATCACAAGCATGGGACGAAGCAAACATACGAGAGTTACACGTTTGAACCCCTTATGAGTTTCTGGTATTCTTTAATTGCCTTTATCTTGATTACATCTGTCTGGAGACCGTAACTTGGGTGAGTTTTTCTCTCAGATAAATACTCTCATGATGTTAAAACTCACATTTGTCAGCACTCAGGGTGAGATTGATCTCTTTCCCGCAGTCCAGTACTTTCTCGAGATGCTTTTCTTTTTCCTCTATAGTTTGACACCAGACCAAAAATAATCATCAATATCAGTTTCACAGCCCTCAATGTCTGTAAACTTTTCGATGAAGGTTCCATGAAAAACTTCCTTGTCAAAAACTACAAAACAGGTACAACAGTAGATCTAAACCCTCTGAAAGGCGTGTTGACTGTTGTCAAGTAGGATCTTTTGTTATCCAGTGGAATCTGACAGAACCCCGATATTGTGTCAATTTTAGAAAACTACTTGTCGCCAGAGAGTGGCCCTGTTATCCTCTGTTGAATAGGTAGTTGGTAATGTTCACTTTTAATAGCTTCGTCAAGATCACATGATTCAATGCAAATTCTAAGATCACCATTTCTCGGCTTGTTAACTAATTTTGAATTCACCCATTGTGTTGGTTCCTCTACTGTTATGATTACACCTTGTTGTTCCATTTCTTTCAGCTTTTTTTGTACTGTTAAATGTTAATTTCAAAATTGTAAAACGCACGCTGTTATATAAGAATCTTAACCGACGTTTTGGCAATGCTGCCTTCTTTAGGGTATACAAGACTAAATACCGTAAAAAGTTCGTTAAAATTAGCTCATGTGCCTGATGGCATACTCACGCGCGTGCCACATGAAATAGCGCGCAAGCAAAAAAAAAAAAAAAAAAAAGACGGGGGGACGGGAGGTGATTCACGTGAAACTAAAGTCTTGAAAGCTTTCAGGCGTGCCAAGAATCTAAAGGATCTGCGACTCAGAAACAGCCTACCTGGAAACCTTCCACACCAATCACCAGGTACTTTCCCTTGTAATAGGACCGTTCGCCGCACATGTCCCAATGTTAATTCATCATCCACAATTACAACACCCAAGGGCATGTTTTACATCACGGGACATTTTTCCTGCATCACTGAACAGGTGGTTCATTGCTTGTCGTGCACCAAGTGTCCATCGATAGTGTCCATTTGGGAGACAGGATGCAGGTTGGCGGACCGTTTTCGAGAACACCGCAGAGATATCATCAACGGGAGGAATGACCTCCCTGTACCCGCCCACTTCAACCAACCAAATCATACACTGGAGGACATGAAGGTTGCGGTATCAAAGGCAGGCCTAGCCAACCAGGAATACCGTAAGAAGCAGGCGATGAGGTTGATATTCAAGTATTGGACTGTAGGCCCTAGAGGCCTTAACCAAGACTTTAGTTTCACGTGAATCACCCCCCCCCCCCTTTTTTTTTTTTTTTTTTTTTTTGCTTACTCGACTCGCGTGCCGTAGCACGCTATTTCATGTTGCACGCGCGCGGGTATGCCATCAGGCACGTGAGCTAATTTTAACGAACTTTTTAACGGTATTTAGTCTTGTATACCCTCAAGAAGGCAACATTGCTGAAACGTCGGTTACAATTCTTGTATAACAGCGCCCACTTTACAATTTTCAAATTAACATTTATAAGTACTATGCTGTGCAGGTTTTTCAATCTTTGTTTTGTACCGTGTTGTGTAGAGCATTTAGTAGCTCTCAAGGTTGACAACTGACTCGTCAATTTTGATATGATAAGGCTCCGAGATGGATCCTAAACCTTCAAAACAACTTGAGTACATTTGGAAGATTTCCTCACCATCTAAAACCAATATTTTACATCGAGTGGTATTTTGTCTATGTTGGATGTTAGTAAAATTATCAACATTATGGAAAGTGATAAAGTTCTTACAGCTGTTGCACCCCAAGAGAGATTTTCTGTGTTCCACAACTTGATACTCTAAGCCGTGATTGGACCATTGATTACGACAATGCAAATAACATTTATCCATGACAGGAATGTTGTATCCTCCATAAGCTGTAAGCTTGGCCTTGCTTCTTAGCAATTTATGCTTTGACTCTTGGGGACAACTTGGAGAAAGTCATGTAGAGTAAGAATGTTGATCTCAAGTACAATTTCCTACTGTTGGAAAAGAGCTTTATTCCCTTCACTGCTGTTACAAGGTCTATAAATTGATAATTGTTGAATGTCTTTTTGTAGCTGGTTATTGGGTTTTTCGAAGACAGGACTGTCTGAACTGCACGATAACTTTGGTGACCAAAAACGTCATTCACGTTGTGACCCTTACAGATGTCTTTTGCATTTTCTTAATAATTTGTCAGTATGTAACAAAAGAACACTTATAAGCTTTGTAGAATTATCTGTTTCCATGATGTCAAAGTAAGGATTGCGCTCACTCTTCACGTCTTATTGGCGTGTCTATTTCTGTACTGCATAATAATTCCAGCGAGATTCTCAGGCCGTATGCTCCTTTATCTTGTTGAAATAAACCGTGAAGAAAACCTGAATAGAGATAACTTTAAAGGGGATTCTCCCTTTGATAGGATACAATGTTTTCCTCCAGTTTTGTTGACATTGCGGTTTGTTTATTTTGGTAATCTAAAATTAAAGACGAACAGGGAATTTAGGGAAGTGGTTTTACAGTAACTCAGCCCTTTATCCTGAAGAACACCTGCTTATAACCTACCACCCCAGATGAAAAAGACACTGTCCTATTTAACTTGTGGTAGCGTGTCTTTCTAAACATCCAAGTGCTGTTGTCGTCCCTGTCATTGTGGAAGTCCTCTGTGTTCCTGATGGCTAACTATATAACATCTGGGTCCAAGCAAAGCTTAGAAAATTGGGTAAGCATAATTACACACCGTCGCAAACCATGACATTTGTTTTCAATTTTTGGAAGCATTATCTTGTCCATTCCACACTTGCAGTATACTATGGCTTAGAACATGTGTTTTTACGTGAGAATGTGATTTTCCTAAAAAGTAAACAATCGAGATAACAATTAATGTAGACAAACAGTTTGTTGGTAAAAAGAACAAATCATAAAAGCAACCTTATCAACATCAAACTAAACATACCACCACGGACTCTTTGCCTCTTCAGAGATCATGATTTTGCATCTGTAGATAAAATAACAGGATAACTACAGAATGCCCTGCCACTTCGAAGCTACACCCCTAGACATATCTTCTCACTTCACTGTGATATCAGATTTTCCATTTCTCCGCCAGTTCAAGGCGTCTTGTTGGCTGAAGCTGACTTATGGCGGGAAACCACACTGACTTCTTTTGAGTCTGCCATTTTTGTTTATACAGATCATGTAATTTCCAGTTGAAACATGCAAAACAAAAATCATGCACCATCTGCTCCCCTCAAATTTTGACTAAAATGTCATATTAACACATAATTCTTTATTGTTTGTGGCTCTGATTGTACTGTGATTTTACATGTTTCAAATTGCTACAACTTTTGAACCTAGTATATGGCGTCGCTCTCCATGAGTTCTCCATAGCTCAAGTGGATAGAGCACCCGCCTGGTGTTTGGGGGTTATAGGTTCGTATCCTGTCAGGGACTCGGATTTTTTCTTTGTCCCATACTCACGACATGGTGATTAATTCATTTTCACATTTGTTTCACCGAGCTTAAGATTTCATTCTTTTACCACACAGTACAACATCGACATTGCTGATCCTTGCAGTATGCAGGACACGTGTCAAGCATGAACCTAGGATATGGCCTTAGTCTCCATGAGTTCTCCGTAGCTCAAGTGGATAGTGCGCCCGCCTGGTGTTTGGGAGTCATAGGTTCAAATCCTGTTGGGGATGCAGATTTTTTCTCTGTCCCACACTCCTGACATGCTAAGTAATTCATTTTCACAACTTTTTTCGAATTGTGAACATCTGTTGACAGATATCAGTCAAATCGACATGTTATGATCTGTCATGAAGTTGTGACGTCCAAACCAATCTCTATTTCTGGCTTGTTTGCAGGAGTTGCAACGTTTTGCTTATTGTCTTTCTGGGATAGACCAGAAACTGATTCGTTTGATCTTTCAACATGTGCCTCCTCTGAGGTACATGTAGCTGTATTATATTAGAGAGTGTTAGCATTGACAACGAGTACGAGTACGAGAACGAGTCCATCTCGTACTTGTACTCGTTGTCGTTCTTGTAAAAAATGTGTAAGCCGAACATACGAGTACAACTTCACGAAAAAAATATTTTGGGATAGTATTGTCATTTTAGGCGCCATTTTCAAATGATTTGCTAGCTCTTGCGTCCTGTGAGTTCAGTGCTGTTGCAAAGTTTTTCTCGGTAAATGCTGGTATGGCTCTCAAAAGGATCCAGGAGTGCATTTTGCTAAGCTACACTCAAGATCTGCTAGATGACAACGAATTCTGCCTCCTTTACGATGCGAATTACGCTAACTACCCTGATTTGATCACGGGCAATATACCAGGTTTACACTCGATGCAGTCTCTGAAGAAGAGTGTTTGAGCAGCTTTCGTTTCAGACAACTGGACATTCCTTACCTTGCACAAGTTTTGCGTCTACCTGAGAAGTTCATTTGCCCTAATCGAACTGCAGCATTGACGGAGGAGGCTTTATCTATTCTTTTCAGACGAATCGCTTACCCTTGTCGATATGTAGACATGATGCCTCAGTTTGGGAGATCACCGCAAGAGTTGAGTCTGATCGCAAATAAAGTGATGGATGAAATTTACGAAACGCACGGCCACTTGCTGACAACCATCGATCATCCATGGCTAACAAGAGCTAAACTAAGAGAAATGGCTGATGCTGTCCATGAAGTAGGAGCTGCACTTCCAAACTGCTGGGGATTTGTAGACGACACGGTAAATATCAGAAAAAATGTTTTCCTCTCGAATTCCTCTATAAGCTTGTTAAATCTATCCCTACATGATCGATCTGTTGTCTTGAAATCGTGCTGCGTGTTGGTATTCAGGTTCTCTGCAATTACTCTCCACACTCTCCCTCTATCTGACTGTTTCTGATTGTAGGGTTCTAGATGTAAGACTTCACGTAAAAGACAAGAATCATGCTGACGCTTCCATATAAAAAGTTTTCTTTTCCTGAAACATAAACAGAAAGGGCATAAAAACTTTGAAATCTGAGACCGTAATTCTTAGGTTTATGTAAACAATGCGACCTCTTGATTTGACAAACTTGGTTCGTACAGACTATGCACCGTAAGAAATAAAATGGTGTGAATGAAAAATAATTAAAGAAACAGTAATACTTACGTCTCTGGTTGATTCATCTTGAAAGAAGCTGTTAAAAAAACCAAAAAGGTTAAGTTTATGAGCACGCTAGACGGAGACCATGAGAGCTTCTCATGTTTAAAATTTTGACACGATGTTGACAGAAAGGAAGGAGGATTAATGTGCTATTCAAAACAAAAAAATGCCCAAAAATACCATCCTAGGCCTTCGATGAAGAGTTTAAGTGCTTATGGGATACACCTATGGCAGAGATAACCAGCTACAAAAGATAAACTTTACCTTTCAAAAACTTGTTCCTGGCACTTCGAGTTTTGGAGGAAATCTCGTCGTGGAACGAGTTGCCAGAACGAGTTGAGCACGTGTTCTGAGCAAAACGCATGCGCATTATAGTCAATGGTAAAATCTCGTTCTTGTACTCGTACTCGTTGTCAATGCTAACACTCTATTAACTGTGGAAGTGAACCAAATTACATCTTGGTCAATACTCTGGACACAAAAATACCCACCTTGTAAAATTTATTGCATCAGCAAAGATGGCGGCTGCAAGAAATTTGGCTCCAAGATTTATCAGTGATTTATCCTCTTCAGCCCTTTACTTTTACAACTGTGCTCGAAATATGACCATTTACGTATATTGGAACAATATGATGCATGGTTACAATGCATCAATAGAGGAGGATGGTGTTGTGTCAACTGGATTTAGTCGGATTTTCTACCTGAAACGATGGTGTTCAAATCGCATCGCCATATTGGATTTCAATGTTACTTAGGATCAAGGATCAGTTATTATCCCAATTCTTGTTCAGGCTTTCAACTGATGAAGTTAGTAATCAGTGGAGATGTTTCTGTAAATCCACAACCTGAGAAGTGTGGTAAATGTGGTAAAACTAGTGCAAAAATCATCGCTCATTGACAAGTGACTCATGCAGAAGAATATATCACATGAAATGTTATATGGTGTTGACAGACTAAAAATCCTGCAGAGAAGCAAGGTTATATAGATTTGCATGGCATGCACATTTGTGGTCTTAATGCATCAGCCATTGAATCTTTGTGGCTTAGAGATACTAATGCAGAAATTGATGGTGACTTTGGTGGTGATACGTATTCTGCTATGGTACCGGCGGATGAGGAGAATTATAGTGATAAGAATCGCACCACAAATTACCCACACTTGCAAGACCTGGAGGAAAAACTGAATAGTAGCTCCTATAAGGTTGTTAGGATAGCACACATAAATGTTTGCAGTCTAAGGACCAAAATGAACAAGATACGTGTTTACAGAGACAATGCAAATTCAAAATTCTTACTATCACAGAGACGCACTTAGACAGTTTGGTCTCAGGTGCTGTTGTCAACATTGAAGGAATGAAATTCTTAAGGTTAGATAAAAAATCAAGTAAAGGAGGCGGCTGTATTCTGTTTTATTCCAAACATTTATGCGCTGTAAATTGGAAAGACCTGTTTGTTGACGGCCTTGAGGCTATCTGGCCGCAGGTCAAGTTCCCCAGTTGCTCTGTTTTTCAGTAGTGTACAGACCACCGAACGACAGGATGTTTCTTGACCTTATCATGTCCTCCTTAGAGAAAGCTTGGCTTAAAACTCCTAATATTGTCTTGTGAGGGGTTTTTAATTGTGATCTGAAATCAATATCTACTACCAAATGTGATCCTGCTACTTCATATCTTTGATGCACTTAATTTGCAAAACATTGTCCAGGAACCAATAAGAGTAACACTAGCCTGAGTATCAGGCGTTTCTTGGGAAAAGGGGAAAGATGGAAGCGACAAAGGGAGAGATCTGAAGGAGAGAAACGCCTGACACAGATGCTTTTACTCGAGCCTTCCACCTCCACACAGCATGATTCAATACCATCCAATCGAAATCAGTTCCAGTCATTGGGTTGTCAGCTTCATGTGTCAAAAAGCTCGCCTAAAATAAATCTCACCTTACGGTCTGGCCGAGCTCCGGTGCTTGTGCTGCTACGTTTTTGCTTTTTTGTGAAACCTCCAATGAGGGGTTTTCGAGTACTTGTAATGCAAAACTTGCCGTTTTTGAGGAATTATAACATGTTTTAGGAATTGTGCTAGTGTAAGATTGCCAACGCTCTGTTTGTAAATAAACGTGTGCCCGGAAAATTGTAAATTGCTTTTGTTTACAGAGTTCATCAGGCGCTTGTCTGGCAGCTAAAAAGCTGATGTTATCCCTCGTATTCTCAGGTGGTTGAAAGGAGCTGCAAGAATGAATAGGAAGGTGCAATGGTGAAACACCTATGCCTAGAAATTATTGAGCAGCAGCAAATTCCACCACTTCACAGAGAGCTCATGAAAGCTGTTACAAGTTCAAAAAGAAGTGAGAGCCAAAAGCAAAGGTCAATCCCATTGGCGAAATATGATGGCACCGGCTTGAGCTTTAAGACATTTCAAAAGTGAGAAAATTTTGGAAGAGGAAGCGAACGAATTCCAATCATGTACGCTATCGTAACCGCCACTAGCAAAGTGAAGCTTTTTAAAAGCCTTGGTGCTGTCGGCTATCTCAATATATGGCTACCTCCCTCTATTTTCATTTACAGTAACAATACCATTTTAACGGCAGGATGTTGTAAATCAGAACTTAGATATCTGAAACACTGATATCGTCTTCTTTGTCCCGGTCTTGTGAAACCAATACTCGGACATAGTGGAACTAGCTTCAAGTTGGATTCCAATGAAGGTAGGAAGGGCGGATTTCTCTTTCCAGCATCATCATCTGGCAAGGGCGTACACCTTTAGATGTGTGAGGTGTAGCTCTGTACAACACAACATCAAGAGAGGGATTACACTGTTTTAGTATCTTGGCAATGTAGACTCTACAATTCTTCTTTGCACAACTGAGGCAGTAGTTATAAATCCACTTGTCTTCAATCAAACCTTTTTGAGGGTAGGGCTTCATGATGTAAGTCTTCAGTGCAAATGCATCGTCAGCAACAATTACATGTGGCACCTTTTTGAAACCAAATGGAAGGTATTTGTGTGCTGGAAGGGCCACTGATCCATCCTTGATTGTCGGAGCTAACCCACACTTGTTCCAGGCTCCTCCATCAGATACTCTTCTATTAATGCCCACATCTGTGTAGAGGCATTTATATTCTGGCCAATAGAGATAGTGTTTTTGTAGTTGTAGAATGTTGAACCACAATTTGGTGGAGCTTGAATGACAATGTGCTTACCATCAACCATATCAACACAGTTTCGAGCCACCTTTTGTTACTGGATGGTGTTCTGAGTTACTCGCGTCCAAGATAACAGTGAATCACCTTACAAACTTATCTCACAATGTCATCACTAGCCCATATGGAAAACGTTTCATGTGGCTTATCAAAGAAAAAGATGAGCCTACCGGCAGCCATGGTGTTTGCCAGGGCCGCAAGTTTTTTGGATGTGATGTCTTCAACCAATGTTCGCTCTTGAGCGCTCGTGCCTGGTTCACTTGTAGAGAGAGCAGGGCAAGCATTGATAATTCCCGGTGAGTTTAAGGCACCTGAAATGGCTTGAGAAATAACAGCAGTCAGCTCAGTGGGGCTGAACTGCAAGGTGGACAGTGCTGTTGGAGTCATCTCCTGCCAGCCGTGGAAACACTCTCTGCTCGGCGCCATTTTGCAGGGACTGCCAGTGTAGGTCTTTCTGCTGCCTGGCACTTAAAAGCTCGGTTAGAAGGCATGCTATTGTTAAGGCTAATAAGCCAAAATTGCTATTTAAAAATTGAAATGTAAATAACCAAGGAGGCAACAAATCCGAGACATTGAATATAGGCTGCGCTATTTACCCGCCAACAATACTTAAAGTAGAACGGACGCCAAAGAATATCAAGTACAAACCACAGCAGGTAACATACAATTAAAACAATCCGAGACATTCAGATAGGACATTTGTCCCATAATGGCTTGGGTGTGTTGGGCACACTGATGTAATAAACAAAAGCCATCAAGAGATAACACACTAAATAGCCATAAATCTCAAGTACAAGTCATGCAAATGGATAAGGGGTGCATGAGAAGCAACAATATGGCTTGCAAGTTTTGTGGTATATGTGATATGTATACAAAAAAATTTGTTCATATATAAATGGTGTTTGGGAATATCCACGTTCCACACTCAAAATTCGAGGACTGTATATTATATATTTTGACTTACACGTTCTACAATCTAGTGATGTACACTTAACAACAACATTCCACAATCTGACCCTTCTTCTACTATCACTTATCCTAAGTACAGCAAATACAGTTACTAAGGTTTCAGTAACACGGGATACATATGTGAAACAATGTCTCCATTATACTCCTTGAGCTATGGATTATACTATACAAACTAAGAATTTATCTGTCAATAATTATCATGTCAATCATTTACATCCAGTTTAATCTATCTATCTAGTGTTAATTGCACTTGTGTCATTTCTGTTTATGTCTGTTAAAACCAGGCAAAGGAGTGCTCATTGCATTACAAATGGGTACTATTTCCAACACCCCCCATGCTTGACTCAATTTTGAGTCAAGAAAATGTGACAAAATAACCGTACTAGTCTTCTGGCAGGTTCATCATTTCTCTTGTCTTCCAGGCCGCAGCTCGGCAAAGAAATCATGAACGTTGGTACTCTCCTTCTGGCTCTTAATCTTTTTAAGCATCGTGTAAAACTTTCCATGGACAAATCTTCGACCAATTCCAAATGAACAGCTCTTGTCACACTTAACAATTGGTTCATGTGTCAGCGTGCATATGTCGAGATATTGAGCACGTGGGAAGTTTGGAGAGCACGAAAGAGGCATAAGAGTTGCACGAGGCGCAGCCAAATGCAACTGTAGCGTCTTGAGTGGCTAGAAAAATCACTGCTGTTAAGGAGCTAAGAAAATTCGCATACCTCCAAGAACTGCACCTCTCAAATTGCGAAAATATTTATAATGCCCCAGTTTGTTTAGACGAACACCATCCCGAGCAAGAACATAGGATCTACTATGCTAAAAACCTCAGTGACGACAGTAATATACATAAGGAATGGGTTCTAAAACCACCTTAAGATATTTTGTTAACAAATCAACCTTTTTGTTAAAAGAAGAGGTATCTTGCCTATGAAGAGTTTGACGGACGCAAATGAATTCAACTCCATATGACTCCTAATCCAAATGACTCCTAATCTGAAATGGTGGTAAGGTCATTCGTAGCTAATTGCATAATTACTACATTGGGAGCAAACTCCTCGACTACACATCACTCACACTCCCTTTCGAGACTGTTCTACCTCCAATCCCGTGCTCTTTTGCGAGCAGATCATCTTCCAAACTTAATTTGTTTTTGCAATTTGCATATTAAAATTGCCACAAAGAAAATTGTGTAGATGGCAAATGAAAGAGTGACCAAGAATTCAAGCATGGATTGGCAGCATGACGCAAAAAGATTCAAAGGTAGTACTTGGCTGAAAAGATTTTGCTTGTGATCTGACTGAGTTGAAGACGAGGGAGAGAGGGAAGAATTACTGGGGTAATTAGCTCAATATACTTAACCATGAAACCGCCCTATAACCTCTTTGGCTTTGAAGTACCTGGTATTGCTTGACCTTGCACGCTATCCTGTGAGCACCATAATTACGTTGTCTACCATATATTTCCCGTGGGTTGCATGAAAGGTAATGGCAGTGTGACTGTTTTTAAGACACTCTTCTGTATCATTCTCTTCTTCAGTTTTTCCTTCAATGTCAGGGAGTTGTCTCCTGATGCCTGTCAAACATTCTGTGTGTTGAATCACTCTACGATTTTAGCAATGTCCGAAGAAACATCTGCGTTTCAGTAACTATTGTTAATTTTATTTTGAATTTGATGGTCAGATTAAGCAGTAATAAGAACTCTTGTCTCTGCCTCCATCCAAGGTTCTCCTTTTTTGGAGACCTGCAAGTTGCATGATTGTTTTGCATGACTCTTAAAGGTCAAGTAATACAGGCAACATTTGCACACAACTTGTCGAGCAACATTGTTGCATAGCAAGTTGAAAAGCGTTTTTGCCCTTATTACCACCTTCAACTTGTCATGCAACAAATTTCGATGTTGCAAGTTTTGGCAACAAGTTGTGCAAAGTAGACCTGAATTCTACGTTTTGCAACAAACTTTCAATTTTATTATTTGTCACAACTTGCTAAGCTTCACAACACTTGTGATTGGTCAATTTTCCCACACCAAAAACCTGGGAGACATGGTGAGTAAGCTCGCTCTTGACCTCGGGCATATTTTGGCAGAAAAAAACATGGCCGAGGTTGTGCAGGTTGAGAATGTTGAAACCCAAGATTGTGAATTTATTAGTGAAAAAATGTCAGAGGCCCAAAGAAAAGATTTGTGCAAAGAACTTGAAAAATACCCATGTCTGTGGGAAACTTGTGGACCAGAGTATAAAAACAAGCCACGAGGGTCAAGAGCTCTGGATGAGTTATGTCAAAAATTTAACATTTCACCAAGCTGTCTCAAAAAAACAACTACATAGCCTTAGAACGGCATTGACAAGAGAAGTAAAAAAAGAAACCACAGAGGGCCACCAGTCGAGGTGGAAATTTTACACCGCTTTAACTTATATGAAAGATGATGTCCGTTCTCTGAAAGTGAAGACAGAAAACAAAACAAAACTGCTGTTTCATCATGCGGAAAAATTCTTTGTATGCAGCACAATCTCCCGTTTCCAGTTCCGTTACCAGCTGGTGGTAAATCTCTCTCTCCTCTTACAAGGCAATCCAGTTCCTCACATAGACGTGTCGGTTTCTTTTACGGGGTTGTTGGGCCTCTTCCTCAAGTAAAAAAATTAACCCAAGGGTGGCTATCGCGCGCTTTCTGCAAAAGCCCAGCACGTCCACCATTTTGTTTGCTGACAAAAAACACGCAGTCGACCAATCGCAACGCAGGATTTTCTTAATTAGCCGCAACTTGCAAGATCGAAATTTGTTGCGTGACAAGTTGAGATCGAAGGTGGTACTATGGGAGCTTACAGGCAACAACACTCTTCAACTTTCAACGCAATAATGTTGCGTGAATCGGATTTTACAGAAATGGCTCTGCACAGTCTTGAGTCACTATGGCAATGCTTAACAATTTGTATTGAACTGAAAACTTACATCAAAGACTCTTTGATTTCAAATCGAACTACAATTTGTGCGTTGTTGTCTCTTTGGGTCTCAAACACATCAGGTGTAGAAATCATTCACGCTGCACAACCTAGTGTGCATCATTGGTGAAGGTAATCGAGAGCCTGTCATTGAATAAATTGACAAGCTCACTTGAGGGTTCGAAAACGGTCCTTACTGCTTTGAGTGAAGAGTCATCATCTTCCCTGGATTTCAGGCTTGTCTGGTATTTCTGTATAAAGGTAATAGGAAGGTAATCCTATCAATGTTACCGAAAGTTACTTACAGAAATAATATGGAAAGAAAAAATAGGAAAAATCAAAGTAAACACTCTTTCTTTTGTTTTTTACCCTTCTGATGGCCTTTTACTATACTTTATTTCTGCAAGAAATAGCTTCACATAAATGCTGTTGAAGGAGAGGCCTTGAAGCATTTAAGCAAGGAGTAAGACTACTTATTTTTTTGCCTCTGTTTTCCCAGTCAATAAAACTTATGGCCCAAGTCATGAAATCTCCCTCATGTAAGCACTTTTTACAAGATTTCTTCATTCTGGAAGGGTTAGTTGTAAAAGACGTCTGTTGTAGTAAAGAGGGGTGACTTTAAAGTTTGTGGTAAGAAAAATTAAGGAAAAAAAAGAGAAAGACTAGCTGTCCACTAGCAATCTTGCACGTTCTTGTAGTAGGGATTAACATATTGATAAGTCGTTGGCACAGTCTTTGCTAGGCGCTGAGGAAACTGGAGTAGATCATTTAGTGAAGAACGTTATGTTTTTATGTTTTTGTTCTTTTACTTTGTCCTTGGGCATGGTAATGTTACTATGATTTATGAGGTTGAAACAAAAAAAATTAAACCAAGGGTAAAATCAAGCCACAAAATTTCAGTAGCATTGCAGCCATAACAATAATCGTTATTATTATTTTCAAACACAACAAAAAATGCTCTGATGGCAGAAAATGTGTGCATAGGCATTGATTTCAAATGCTTCGTTAAAAGAAGCATAGGATAACAGCAATACACGATGGCTTTATGATAAAATACTTTTTTAATTCGTACAGTCTAAAGAATACAGATGATAAAAATTAATTCTTCTTATTTTTTTCCTTTTTTATTGCTGGCCACTTTGTGTCTACCAGGTCTTGCAATGTGATGTGATATACCTAAAGAACACACAGAAGTCATCAACAATCAAACATGTTACAGCCACAGCCTTGTATTGTAACATACGTTTTCTCAAATTTTCAACGTTTGAAGGTTTACAGGAAAAATGTTTCTCTTGATTGAACAGCAGTCAAACCATTGGAACATTGAATGAGCTCATAAGCAAAACGAACATTGAGGGATTGGTCTTGCCTTTGCATAGTCATTGATACCATATAAAATCAGAAGCGTTAACTTACGTGGGGACCAACTGGATCCTTGTAGTCGCGGACATCCTCTTGTATAATGGTGCACACCACTTTCTTCACACATTCTGGGAATACAAAGGTGGGTTGACCCCCAGTAAATTGACCTCGGCCAATTTTACATCCATGCTGAAGAAGGAATTGAAAAATTCATCTACAACAACATCAAAAATGTTTTCAATATATAAGCGATTTGCATTTGCTCCAGTGATACAACTAAGTAAAATGCGAAGCACTTATTTAGCTTAGTACAATGGATGAGAATGCAATAATTTCCCACGAGGATATGTTGTGCAACCACCACGCAAAGATAGAGAAACATTTGGGACATCTTTTTACTATCGAGAACTTAAAATTAAATTATACTCAAGTCACTTACCCACATAATTTTGTATAGTCTAGAGTAGATGCGATGCAGCATCCTTTCAGCGATTTCTCCAGGCTTTCTCCCTGCCGTGCGAAGGAGATTTGTGAGACCCTGGGGTGTTTTCCCAAATCTAAACAAATAATCAGAGGAAAACGCTAAAGGGGCTTCTGAAAAATATTACTTTAAAAAAACTCAAAATAAAAAGAGAAAATACCTACCTGTTTCGCCCAAATTCGGCATAAAAATTGAGGAAAGCAGCCTCGCAGTTGACAGAACTGGCAGCCATCTTTTGGGAATCTTTTGGAAGCACGCGGGAAAGGTACGAGAGTCAAATTTCTCTTCGGCCGGCCCCTGCGGTCACATTCCATAGGAAAGGAAGTTAAAATTTCTCTTTCAACTTCCGGTAAATCGAGCAACTTTAGAGCAGACTTTTTCTTGAATGCGATGGCATAATTAAAAAAAAAAAACTAGATGTGCATATTACATGACCTAAACTTACTGCTGATAGATTTTGAGCTCAAAAGAAAATGTTGAAAATTTGCCGGTGCCGATACCTTAAGGTTTTGTAACATTCTGATTCCCAGCGACCTAACATTTGAATCTGGTATTCAGCAAGACCAGCCAAAGCAGTGATTTTTTTCACATGTATGATAATATGGCGGTCTTGTGGGGTTATGCGCGTGAATTGTGATGCATAATCTAGTGCTTTCTTTAGGAGTTGTTCAGAGATGGATGGATAGAAGTCATACCTCGAAGGTTACAAACGTATGTTGAGCTTTATCAGGTATTCTCTGAAACCATTCGATGACATTGGGTGTGCTTTTCCCGAGGTTTACTTTTGTTGCTTTGATGACTTCTTTGTCTATGTTATCCAAAATGTGTTTGCTGATTATGCCTATTTCTGATTTTGAGGGGTTAATAAGTCTGCAGGATGGGTTGCTTGTAAAATCAGGTTTGTGATCTTTCAATGTTATTAACGCATCCCTGCTTGCTGAGATTTCAATTCAAGGGCTAGGCTTTGTGCGTTGTTTTGGTCAGCAGAGGTGATAGTGTTAGGGATGCTTTGGTTCGTCTTTTTTTAGGCTTTTGTCACGTTTTTCTGTACAATGTTCAAATAGTCATTCGGTTCAGTCTTGTAGCGGTTGGTTGTTTTATCGGCTTTGACGAAGATATGCTTGTCTTATCGGATTTCTTGCAGGTCTTTGTCTAGCTGTTCTTGGAGTTTGTTCTGCATATGTTTAGTGCTATATATATAGAGAGAGTCTTGCTGAAATGTAGCTGCCTGGGCCAACAAGATGTCTATCCAAACGGATCAAGAAAGATTCATAGTCCGATTTTGGTGTATGAATGATAAAAAAGTTAAAGAGGGCCAAAAGTAGATAACGTTTGGATGATAAAAAGAGATAAAAAATAAAAGTTACTAACACATTGTGGTCACAACCCCTGCATCAGTTACAAATGATAATACTTCAAACAAGACTTATGTACTCAGTACAACAATTACAAAATTAACACTAAATATACAAAGGTTACATAACAAGTTGAACAAAGGATGATATTGAACAAAGGGTAAGTGGCGAATTGAAATACAAAATACACAGCATAGAATTAAAACTAAAGATACTATTGAATGAAGGTTACGTAACGTATAGAAGTTTAAATCAAAATACACTGAGCTAAGAGTAAACAATGACATCTTGAAAAGACATTTACTCTCTACAGGTGCTGCATATTTCTTGCATTGAATTACATTTTTCACCGACGGTTGTATAACACTCTTCCTTTACAATTGCATCCATATTTTCACGAAGACAATTTAGGCATTGTTGCAGCTCCTGAATCTGTTTAACTTGACATTGCAGGGTAGAACCACCAGAACTAGTCGGTCCCACGAAATCATTACCAATGATAAGCGCGGCCTTGTTGTCGAGGGCCATCATACCCGTTATCTGCTCTTTCATCACAAATGTATCTCTAAAGGATTCGTGTGGCAAGGTAGGGTTGTTGTTAACATAATCTAAGGAATACACTTCCTTTTCATGTAATATTGACAGTATCGTATTCAGCATGAAGCCATCCTTTGCCGAGGAAACAGGTACTACTTGAATTTTATTGGTTGATATCAGAGATGTAATTGCACTTCCTTGACTAAATGCCATCTCTAGAAAAGAGACCAGATACGCTCTGACCAGTCCACTCTCAATATTGACAGAAAAAGGCAAGGACCGCCACTACCTAACAACAACACTCATCATATCACGATAACACAGACCATTAACACTGAGAGGAACAAAGGACAGAGCCATAATAAGGGAGAAAAAGGAGACGCGACGGCTCATGATTATTTATTTTGTGCTTGAGGGGATGACCAAGCAAAGTCTTATCAGCAGGTACCCAAGCAGCAGGAGTCAAAGTCCGTTTTACAGTGGTTATCAGAGACAGATGCATCTTCTTATGTGAGATTACCGGAAGAGAACTGACAGATGAGAAGCTGCCTTAGCAACTTCCTCACATTACTTTCTATGTATCACATTATATTGTATGCTTTAATGTACAATACTTTGTACTACATTACTTCGCTAAACTTTACTTATTTGCATTTCATCTACTTTACTTTGCTACAGATTAATTTCCACTACATTACTTTGTTCTACATTACTTACTTTCATATTAGTTTGCTTTGTTTTACTTTACTTATTACTACTTTCTTTAGGTTTACTATTTACAACCTAAACAGCAGTAGGAGCAGCCTGAGCAATCACAAGAGCAGGGTATTTAAAACCGGGTTTCTCACACTCACTATCCTCAACAGAGAAGTAAGCATCACTGGCCTCACCAAAATTCTCTGCATTAGCTTCACCACCAGTCAAAGCAGCCAGTACCGACTGGCTCTGGCTTTGTAACTCATGTAACTAATAGCCCGCAGGTCAGTTATTTCCGATGCACTGACAGCACTAGGTGATGCAGGGTAGTCATTTGGGCAATCATGGGCAAAATTATTATTGTACTCAGATACTTGCGACATTTTCCCCAAATAGAGCAGTAGTTTCCCACGCAATATGATCCCCCTTTTCACATAGATCCCACTCAGTGGGGTGACCTGCTTGAACAATTTTATCATCGTAATTGCCTATAGCCAAATTTTGAGGGATGACGAGAGTGAATCATAGTTACTGTGTGCACACCGTAGCAAATCTTCGGTGATGAACACTCTGAACTTAGCCAAGTGTATCTAACACATTTTCAAGGGCAGAATCGTCTGCACCAAAATGGTAATGATATACCAAAACCCTCTGAGGCCGGAGGCCACCTCCCTGGATAGTACAATTCTTCCTGATCAATACAACCGACTCATGCTGCAGAACCCATCTTTTGGTAGCTTCAGAATCGGAAGTCACTTTGGCTAAAGTACCCACAAATTGAATTGCAGGGATGGTCGTTCCCTGAAAACGCTCTACAATCAAAAAACAACTTTCAACCCATGTAATGTCAGCTGCAATACGTGAAACATCAATTCTGACGGTGCGATGAAAACCAGGGCGAGCCATGGTACTTGAAATAATCAAACACAAGCAACCAAACAAAGTTAAAACCTGATGGACAGGGTCAGAAAAGGGAGGGGTGACCAACCCAAAAGTGAAGCTCCGATCGGCAGAACACAAAAGAGAGGGGTTACAAAAGTTGGACAAAACTACAGAGTTGAGCCAGTTAGGCAACCACAAAACAAAGGAAAAAAGGTTCAAACTCTCAAGTCAAGCCTGCCTCTAAAAACGGATAGGTGACTGTCCAAAGAGAGTCCTCTAACACGCCCATGCTTTTGGCTTTACTTGTATAAATCGCACATACACAGTACAATGAATCCGACAAAAAACTATCATCTCAAGACAAAGGGTAATGAAATGGTGGATATATGAATTTCAAAGTCCTGACTGGAAAACAAATGTAATGTAACTAAAGAGTTTTGCAACTAAGAAGGTCGCCCAATCTGGAGCATATGTCAACAGTTTGATCATTTTGTTTTCTTCACTTTTCCGTCGGATATTATTTGAGTGACACATTTGGTACAGACAACTGTTGGCTCTCTTTTGTAAATGATAGTTATTTAATCTATATTTGGTTCAAAGGCCTGGACTTCTGCTTCGTACCAGCCAGCCTTCAAGCCACTCTCCTTAACTTCCTCCTTCATCCATTTGATCAAAATAGACGTACCAATTTCAATTACTTGGTCGTAAAGGTCCGCCACCCCACATGTAGTGACATGTAGACGTAGGGTTCCTTTTTCCACACCATCTTTGACATGTACTTTGTACACCTTTCCTGGCTCACTGACATACTCAGTTTCTATAACATGCAGCACCTTGGTGTAGTTCTTGATGATGGCTGTATACCATTCTAGCTTCCAGCCGTCATTGTTATCCCTTTCTGTCCATTTCACCATTACCCCTCCTTAATTGTTGCTTCTGGAATCTCAGGTTGTAAGGATCGTACTTCTGGGCAGAGTCTTCATTGGGAAGCCTGATTTCCCTTTTGATGTTTTGAAAGATATCTTGCAATTTTGAACTGGTGGTGCCATCTGGGACTGGAAGCTTTTCACTTTTCCTGTTTAAAGTTTACCCTGCTGTTTCTCTAGGCCTCTGTGATGAAATACCACTTCCCTCCTAGGTGAAAAAAGCTCTTTGTCAAGTTAAAAACTGACTACGGAGGATTTTTACTTCTTTTTGAGTGGTTATTGCCTGCTCCGCGACATCAATCATTTCCATTAAACCGTCATGTTCTCACTGAAACAATACATGCGCGTAACCTGTTTGAAGCGCCAAGACTGTAAGAGCCAGTTGCTCTTTACTTCCTGTCCAAGAAATTTTATAATAGTGCAGGTATTGCTTTAACTTAAAAGCTGGAAGTTTGCAAATTTCTTTGAGTTAGGTGGGTTTTACGCTCAAGTCCCCATCAAATTCGTCAATTTCATATGGTTCATTCAACTGTAGTTTTTTTACATAACTTTCCAGCAGCTTGCTTGTGGATTCATCGCTTCCTAGATTATTTTTTTACACATTTCCTCCAGTGCTTTCTTGGATTTGGAAAACAGGTCAGGGTTTCACCCCCGCACTAGATGCAAGGTGTCCAGTTCCTATTTCTTGAGCCTATTCCTATTTCCTCCTGTTTTAAAGTAAAAGCTGTTTTCCTGTTTTTTGGCTGGTAAAGCAAAATTTTTTAACAAAATTGAAATTGGAATATATACTGTTATTGTTGTATGTGTTTTGGAGTGAGATTTATCATAAAGCAAGTAGTATGTTGACTTTGATGTTCTAATATTAGCAAAAATAACAGTTACATTTGTTCTTTCCATGACCTCTATTGCTTATTACAGGTCTCTTAACAACTTTGTTAAATATTGTTACTTTTTGTGTCATTTTCTAGTGCACCTATGTGTATTGTATGTAGTGTTATAGTTCTCATGACTAGTGAATAGTTTTGTGCATAGCTCACTGAAACTGCATTTCACCATCTGTACATGTTATATTTTATTTTGAAGTCTTGCTCGCTTTTATGTTCATCTTTGAAACTTGAAACAGGATCAAGTTGTCCTCTCATAACACAGGTCAGATAAATCATCAATCAGCTTCTTGTTTAAAAAACCAATCTCTACCTGGATTCTATATGCTACATAAAGAGAACATACTCAAGTTTAGTTTACTGCACTACCTCTCCCAGTAACCCTTGTTAAGAACTGTTCCTAAGCAACTGACAAAGGATCCAATACTTTGGTTCCAAAACCGGTCTTGCAGTCATAGCTAAGCAGAGAGTTGCGTTGTTAGAACTTAACCATGATACATTCTGGTACCAAATAGATCAGTGTCATTTTGTCTACAGCACGGAAAGCCTGGTTGGGTACTTACAACTATGCGGTCTTTTGACTCAAACAAGCATATTCTCAAACAGCTACCGATTGCAGATTAATGGAAAGAATGCTTTCCATAGGACTTTTTAGTCTTAGTTTGATATCCTTCAATCAACACAATCGTAAGAAATTTCACTCCTCGAAGCTTTTCAAAGATTGACCACCAACTTGAATGGAATTTGCTTATGATCACCTTTGATCACAGAACCACGCTCGACCTGTAGTCAAGCATATCATTTTGATTACAGTGTAACTGAGCCAAAAAACTAAACGTTACTGATCATTTTCACTCCTTATAAGCCGAGAAAGTTGATCTAAAGCCTGCGAATGTACAAGCTGAGGACTTGTAGCCTTTATAATAACCCTCATGAGGGGCAGGAAGGCTATCTTTGTTGACAAAAGTATTATTGATTTCCTGTTTTTCCCCTATTTTGTAATACAAAGTGTCCTATTTTTCCTATTTTCTCAATCCTGAGTGTCACTGGACACCCTGTAGATGCAAAGAGCTCTCCAATTCTTTTGAGGTGTCTTCCTATTTGTTGTCTAGGTAGACCTTCCCGTCTTCCTTTGTACACCAAGCAAATAATGCTTAAGCTTTGTGGAAGGTCTTGCTCATGTGAGGATGGATGAGGTGGATTAGATCTAACAGTTTGGAGGGCAAAAATAGTTCCTGGATCTAGTTCCATGGGCCTGTGGGTAATAGACTCCATTCTTCGAACATCATGTAGTGCTGTTCTCCTCTGGTTAAGTACCAGCGAACGTAGTCTGGGATCAGTTGTTTCCATTGGAAATTGGAGGTTGTTGGCTCTTCAAACAAAATGGTCGTGTATTTGTCCATCCAAGCTGTTCAATGGCTGGAGGAATAGTTATTTTTTATGTCTTAGTCGCCAGAATAGCTCCTGCTGATTGTCGTGTCCACCTTCCAAACTTGAGCCAAGTCCTTTGAGGTCTCTGAGTCCTTTTTTAAACGAACAGTGTCCTGTTACTGCGCATGCACCAAACTTTGATTTTTGGACAGGATGTCATGAAATCAAAAAGATGTGAGGAGAGTAAGAGAACCTTGAAAAATCCGTTTGCGTCGCGCTTGGCTGAGGTCAATACTACACTAAAACTTGTCAGGATTACAGATCCATGATATATTGTTCCCGTTCAGTTTCAATTGGGGCAAAATTGGGATTTTTTGGCGTCATTTTTATTGCTGTTGGCCAGAGGACCAAAAGATGGGAAGCGCTTTGATGCCAGTTGAAGGTTTATCTCCTCTGCTAGGTTCCATACTAGCTCAGATAATTGTGAAAGGAATGCGCAGAAATGAAACAGCAACTGGCAGTAAAGACTATAAGAAGGAAACCATTGAGACAATAGAGACCTTAAGATACCCCGATATTGGTGTACGGGTACGGGTAGTGTACCCGTACACGTAAAATGTTCATGTGCGGGACAATTTCGATTAAGATACCCGAAGAACAAGCACACAAAATTAACTTTGTACATGCATGTCGCGTAATGCATACAAAATCTCCCTCAAATTCTACACTTCATATCTTAACAACAAGCTGCAACAAATAATTCATTCATACATAAGCTTATTGAAATATCATAGAAAGATTTTAAGAAACTTGGCGGGAAGTCCCTCGACCGAAAGCTTGTTATCGCAAATCCCGCCATTTGATCGAGGCACATCACCAAACAATTCCTTTGATTGTCAACTTCAACAGTGACTCCCATGCTAAATTTTTCAATGCTATTTCTTTTGCGAAACTCAAATGTTCGAGCAATTCTCAGAAATTCCCCCAAATACCACCACAAATTGATATCGTGCCAGAGTTCAACCTGCGCATGTGTGGTCCAAAATCAATACATTTTGAAGCGCTTTCTTTACAGCTAAAATTCAAATTTGGCAAAAATATTTGAACAGACTTGCAATAACATTGCCAAGGAGTCATACAATTTACATTTGTACTTAAAAAGTCTTAAAAACTTGCTCGTTTCTCCATCATGTAGGACTTGCAGCTACTCGTAAATCTTCTACGGGTAAACTGGTGTCTACCCCGGAAAAACGGCTGGTTCTACCGGGTAAGGTCGATGACGTCACCACAAAATGAAAAAAACATGGCGCCACCCATTACCCGTACACCGATTTCGGGGTATCTTAAGGTCTCTATTGATGTGGCTGAGGAGATCTTGTGGAATTAAGCTTCGTGAAGCAGAATGTTTTGCAAAGACGTGATAGTAAACTTTTAAATGACCCTCCCTACGGCCGACAAAAGCCAACATCAAAGAGGCACTACATTTTTAGAAAAACTAGTGCCATGAAATCATAATATAATTTTTGACTAACCTTTACGATGATTTATAGCGTTGAGATTGCATTTTTATTTATGTCTTTCAAATGTTTGAGGCTAGAACGGCAGTAAATTAGGCAAATATTACTGGACTTGGAACAATTGACCGCTGACACGAGTTTAACATTAGAAAAGCTGTTCTTAAAGTGAGCGGAACAAGATTTTTGATAAAATTGCAATGAGTTTTTGTGCCTTGAGCTAAATTTTAAATAAGACCAAAGACTTCTTCGAAAGTCTAAAATATTACTTGAGAATGTAAACAACAAATCACCGTTGGTGGTGCGGTCCGGAAGGAAATCTTGTCGAGTCAATATGACAGTCCTATTGTCTGTTGAAGAGAAAACAGATGACGCTCGCGCATGCTGCATGTCACATTCGGCCTTATGATCTTCAGTCATCGACAGGAAAGCATAAAGGTTGGTCATATTGTGAAAAACAAAGTTATCTTCACCTCCAATCCCCCAAATCTTGCCTGGTTGAGCACATCTTTTACATTCTCACGCATTTCCTCCATTTTTTTTTAGGTTGGGAATCTGAAATGGCCAGTATTTTTCGAGTTCTTTGGTGTGTACCACGTGAACTCCGTCAACGGGGTTCCTCTTGCTGTGATACTCAGCAAAATATAAAATTAATGAATAACTGCCTTCAGTCCTAAGAGCCGTGGCAAACAAACAAGGAGCACTTTTACAAGAGGACTTCTGGGCTTTTCAATGCCCTTGTCAATGACGGATACTAACACTTCTTTAAATTACTCAGATTCTAAGTTCCTGAAGCACGTATCAAGGGGAGGGTTTGTAATCATAAAGAGCAACTCATTGATTGATCAAAAAATAGTTTCAGGCTCGTAGTTCAACAGATAAAAAATGGTAGGGCTTTTCCAGTTCTTTTGATATGTACTGTTACTACGTTTGATCTGGGCGATGGAGATAGAAAAAGCTCTTGAAGTTTACGGTTATTGTTTACTGTCAGCTTTCTCTTAGTTTCAATTGCCTGGACGAGTAGATGTTTCATCGGAGTTACTGTGTTGGTTCATGAGGTTTGGCAGGTGTAATCCGGATTTTGTATATTTCTCCACATTCACCCTCCATGCCCTGCGTCGGCCAGGGGGGTAGTGGTATACCAGTATACCCGCAAAAAATTCGCCAAAATTCATCCAAATATACCCAAAATTAATCAAAGCATTGTATACTGTATACC